AAGAATTGGTAATTACATGTGATTTGTGGACAATTAAAAAAAAAAGAGCCCAAATTTTTGTTAATGTGATTTGTTGGGTAAAAAAAAAAAAGAAACCAAATTTTAGCACAATCCCACATGCAATTTAGAGTACTACCACCTCTCATCGAATCAAAACTCGCCACATCATCAATTTCATGTGCAATTGAGAGAACTACCACCAATTGACGAATCAGAAGACAACATCTCATCAATTTGAAATCAATTGGAGAACTGCCACCAATTGATCAATGAAAGAGCGGCACATCAGCAATTAAAATCAATTGGAAACACTTGCATTCCCCAATAGAGTACGGCTCCATTTGAATGGGTCATTTTTTGAAAACAAGTTTTTCATGCACAATTCTATAATAATACATAAATAAAAGTAATGTCAAATACACCAAAAATGACTTCCAAAATACCAAAAACAACCTAAAAAAAGTCTTATCTACAGTAAAAAAAATTTTACCTATGTTACTACCAATAAAATATTTTTAAAAAAAGATCAATTTGATCAGCCAATGAAATCTACAACTGTACGAAGAAGAGACACCTAATCTGACAATTTTAATGTCATGGACTGTTTTGAGAAATGAAGAGTTGAGTGGTATTGCACACTTGCACGGGACCACCGTTGCAAACTTATGTACAACTAGCAACAGAAAACTAGCTCTACACTCATAATACCTTGTATTCCAAGCAATACATCTAGCCCAACTTCACAACATCACACGGTACCAAATATGTTAAAAAAAGGGAAGAAAAAAAATAGCAAACAAATACCTAAAAATTTCTTTTTCCTCTAAAAATGAAAAGAACTACGGGAAAGCACAATGTTAAAAAAAGAAGAAGAAAAAGAAATAGCAAACAAATACCTAAAAATTTTCTTTTCCTCTGAAAAAGAAAAAAACTACAGGAAAGCACAATAGAAGGATTGTGGCGCAACCTTTCACTGAAAGCCACCATCATCATTCAACAAACACACTAGGAAATTATTTTAAGACTTCTCAACTCTATCCTTAAAGTTTATGTTGATTGCTGTAATTCTATCCTTAAAGTTTCTGTTGATTGCTATCTCTTATGAGAAAAGTATGCATCATAGGTTGTTTATTTACTTGATTTCAGTTGATACTCATGAATCTTGGGTTTAAATTTGAACCTTGATGAATGGCTTTCAGGTTGTTCTTGCTCTTGGTTCATTCATCTTATTTAGTTTTTACAAAAAAAAAAGTGACAATTTAGATTATGCCTTGTTTCTATTTGACAAAATGTGCAAGATAAATAAAATGGGTATTCATATCAAAAAACAGCAAAAGAAGAAAAAAAAAAGAACAAAGCATAATAAGAAAGACAAAGGATCTCTAGCCATAGGCATCAACAGAAAACACATAGACACCTTCATAGTTCCTAGCGTGCTTGATCACAATTCAGGAAAATCATCAAATAGATCACAAGACAGAGATGTAATAAAACCAAAGTAGAGAACAATTGCACACACAAAAGAGAAAAAAAATAAAAACCTATCAATGTGGAAGAATCGTCCCAGAAGTCACAAATTGGTTTCTTAAGACCAAGGCAAGAACCACCTGCAAAACAAAATAGAAAGACAAAAGGAAAAGAACTCAACAATAATATTTGCAAGAGAATGAAGCACAAAAGAAAGAAAAGATTCCAGAAAAATCATGGTAAAACTTTTAAAATGGAAAAAACAAACTAAACCACTGCAAGCAAAGAAAACATGAAAGAAAGAAAAAGAGCTCAACAACAATACTCATAGAAAAAATCCAAAAACTGATTCCTACTTTCTAACACCTCCTATCACAATTCCAAATCAAAAGCTACGAGCATTTAGATAAAAGGACTAACAACCACAGTCATAAAACAAAAACTATAAAAGAAAGAACAAGGAAATCTAGCCATAGGTATCAGCAGAAAACACATAGACTATTTCACACTTCTTGGCATGACTGATTGCAACTCAAATATATATATATATATATATATATATATATATATCAAACAAGTCACAAGATAAAGATGTTAAGAAACCAAAGCAGCAAAACTGCATCCATGGAAGGAAAAAAAGGACAAATCAAAACCTATCAATGTGGAAGAATCACTCTAGAAGCCGCAGATCAATTTCTTAAAAGAGAGGCCAGAGCCACCTGCAAAATAAAACAAAAACAACATTATACATAGAACCAAAAGAAATACATTATCGACATTAACCAAAAGAAATACATTATACATTGAACCAAACAACATTAACAAAAAAAGGATTTGTTAACATTATCGACATAGAACCAAAAGAAAAACAAAAAGATTTTAACAACCGAGCAAAGAGATCATGAATGAAGAGAATCTAAAACACTCATACACAATGGAAAGGCATTAGCTCTAGCCTTATTTAGGTTGAAAATAAGAGTCAATGAAGATGAAAATCAAATCCAAAAAAAATTTTAGTATTTATTTTATTTCTATTGAGAAGAGTTTAACTATGTCAAAGAAGCATTTTTGTATTTTTGGAAAGAGATAATTATTTTAGGAAAGTAATTATTAATTCAACAATTGTTGTAGTATTCTAAAGGGGGTGATCCGACAATTGTAAGGATGTGTAGTGGTAATACGGAAGTAGATCATTAAAATGATACAATTGTCTTTAAAAGAAAGGGTAAAATTGAGACTACATTAAGCGACACATTTTGTTTATACCAACCACTCCTCACTTTATATATTAGTGATTGATGCACATTCAATCGATATGTATGGAATGAATAAAAAATCTTCATTTAACAAACAAGTGTAAAATCCTTATTTGACAGCAAAATCAAGAAGTAACAAATTATAAAAATTAATACAACAAAATATCATAAAAATCAAATAAAATAAATCAAGCAATTATCTTTAGTGGTTGACTAATGAATCTCTTAAAAAGAAAAAATCAAAGAAAAACTTATTCTAACAATGAGATTGAACTTTACAATCATTTATAGGATAATTGTATTTAACAATTGTAAACTATAAAAATCTTTTGGCAAGAGATACTTATGAAAAAAATTTTACTCTAAAGGAGATGGTGGAGAAGTTTCATTTATGAGGTTTTAATCTTTAGTTCAGTACAAGTTTATTTTCTGGGATTGTGGGTTGTAGTTTATAGTAGTCATGTGATTTTAGTAGTTATGGTTAAGTAATAAATCGTCGTAACTATATCAATGGTTGTGTGATGTTATCATACTAGTGGTTGAATTGTAGTAGGTCAGTGACCAACTATTATTTCAAGGATGAAAAAGAAATTTTAATAAAGTGGCAGCATATTGTTTGTACCAAATCATCTATTCCCGTTTTATTATTATTGTAGAGATAGTTAAAGTAAGATAGTAAGATAACTATACAATATACAGAGAGAGAGAGAGTCGCAGTTGATGTAAATATTTTTTGAGCATCTATTGTTATCCTTAGAAAAATTAATTTTTGCTCTAATCAATTAACCAGATTTGCCAACATAATCATTGATAATCATGCATAGGATTGTATAGGGGTGGAGTTGAACCAAGTAGTTCGGCTCAAGCTCGCGACCTACTTTGTCTGCAGCTATAGATTGAGCTCGGTTGACCAAGCTCGATCTCGAGCTTGAGCTACTCGTTAGAGTTATCGAGTCGAGCTCGATCTTAGATATATGATACTTGCGAGTTCGACGAGCTCTATCGAATATCGCATAAAAAATTTAAAAAATTATATATAAAATTATTAATATAGGTAAACAACTTATGAAATTTACAATGAACCATTCTACCACCTTTATTTATTTGTGTGGACAAAGTAGGGATTTCATAAATCATAAATCATTATTTGTGTGGACAATGAAGGAAAACACAGATTTTTTTGCACAGGTTTTCGAGCTCATTTTACGAGCTTAGCTCAAGTACTCGAGCTCGAATCTTATACGAGTTCGAGCTCAAGTTTTTTTTAACTACATCGAGTCGAGTTCAAGTTTGAAGTTTGAGGCTTGTTCGACCTCGATCTCGAGCTCGAGTAGTCCTCATAACCTTTGAGCTTGAGCTCGACTCGACTCGATAGCACAGTTAGGATTGTAACAACCAAATTAACTATGACCTTATTAAAGAAAATGTTAAGAATGGATCAAAATTCTTTAATAAATTTTGTATATATGAAATTAATTTATGTAAAAATAAAATTTATATATTCATGGAAAACAATAAGTATTTCTAAGTTGCATACACATTGAGTGTATGCTTTTGCTCTAGTCAACATAGTATCTACATAACTGTCTATAAAATGGCCGATCCATATCGGAGATCTGATATTAGTGAAACAGAATTCCAAAAAATTGATTAATATCCAATTTTAAACATTGGTAAAATGATTTGTAATAGACATTGAAATTTGATTTTCGAATTCTCGACTACAAGTTGAATTGCCAAATTTTATATTTGTATATATTTCATATCTACTAATGTATTATATTGCATATATTAAGAATAGTATTATAATTTTATGCTTCTATACAAATACGTGACCTTAACAGTGTATTTTTAACATATTAATACATTCTATATTATTAATTATATATTAAATATACTTAACTAATCTATATTTTAAAAATATTGACTATCCGACTAAAATCCAATTACCAATATTCAAATTATCAAATAAAAGTTTGGATGATAATTGAATATTGGTCTTATTAAAAAAAAAAACCAAAAAAATCAACCCAATTACCAATTATTGATTTCTCAAATGCGCAAAACTCATGTAAAAATTTTGTTCAGGTCTTTTTATTCCAGGTACGGGTAAGGATATAATTTCGGGATCCGGACCCGAACCCATTTTGTCAAACAAAAAACGAATCGAATACGGAATGTGTGTTCCGACCCGTACCCGAATATAAATTAATTAATAATTTAAAATATATATTTATTAATATAAGATTCCAAAATTTACTTCAAACACGCCAAACCCTAAAATCCCTTTGGTATACCTTTGCCGCATCTGATACCTCTCTCACTCTCTCCACTTTTTGCTGTCCCCAATTTGACAATTTCAGCCGTCCCTTTTCCAAGCTTCAAAGAGGAGCAACTGAGCAAGGCAAAATCTAAGCTTCCAGCCCACCGTCCCTCTTTCTCTTCGGTTTGTCTCCACCATTTTTGACTTCTGAGCTTCCACCAGACTGTCCGACTCTTTGGTCCGCCTCCGCCATCTCTTCAGTCCACACTCTCTCACGGTTGCAGCTCCAGCAGCGGGCCTTCCAGCGACACTCATTGGTTCCAGCTCTCACTCTCTAACAGGTAAATTTTTCTAGTATTTTGTCTTTGTCAAAGGTGGTGGCTGTTTCATCTACACTTGATATTTTCTAAAATCTACAAGTTTTTTTTTCCAAATTATGCTTATTCCTTTCAATCCCTTGATAAGGATAATTCCTCATTCTTGGGTTCAATGCCACTGCTGCTCCTGATGATGTTTTCGTCATTGATGGTGGAGAATTGTGTGGAAGAGGTTGGTGGATGAGAAGATAACATTGGTTTACCAATCTGGCCGGAATTACCACATAATCTGTCTTCAATTTAATTTCAGCTATTACTGAAGTTACAAACCAAATACCCCATTTTTAACTTTTCAGCTTTTAGATTAGAATCTCTGCCAGCATACTCGGTCTCACAGCCCTGACTAAAGGTGAAAAATCGAACCTGATGTTTAACATGGAAAATGAGGACACTGCCACTACCTGAGTGATGCTGTTCAACGAAGTAAATTCTTCAGAATAATGAATTAGCCCTGTAATTAAATGAATTCTACCCTCTGAAAGTTAACACCAAAACCTTTAAATCCGATTTGCCAATTTGCCATTGTTCCATCAAAACTGATTTCAAAACCTCGACGTCCGATCACCGCCGCCTCCACCGGTCGTTTTAGCTTAGCCACCTACAGTCCCGCCTGTCGCCGATTTGGCAAGTACTGTTCGAGCGATTATCTGTAGTATTCTATTTCACTCTCATATGTCCAAGACGATCAATCACAAGAACACTACCTAGTGTAGATATCATGATGAATTTTCTGATTTTTAAGCACTAAAAACGGATGTAATAATTCTGTCCTGGGGCAGGCAGTGGCAGGCACTGAATCAATCCCAAATGATGCTAAAGGCTTGCTCTGCTGATGGTAGCCTAAAGCGGAAGAAAGAACCCGAAGCAGCTGATGACGAACGAGGGAAAAGAAATGAAATTCCAGAACTAGCTTTAACGCCTCATGAAATCGGTCGTAGAAAGGTCAATTTTATCTTTGACAATGCCGCAATAAAGAAGACTCTCGTAAAAAAGGTGTGAATCTAATTTTTTTTTTATCGATTTATGCAAGAATGCACGTTGGCACAAGTCTAGTGTATGGTACACTATATTTTAGTCATTATAGTAACAATGAAAGAAACTTTGACACGTAGCATATTTTAGTTCCTGGGATGGTGGGGAGAATATTCTGTAATTTTTCCCCCATAATTCTGCTTGTAGTCACTAATTTTGTGAGTAAAATATGCTGTACTTTATCCTATACAAATGCAAGCTTCATGTGTTCTATAAGATGGTGTAGAATTAATTTTTTTATTTAGTGACTAACATTAGTTTGAGGAAAGTTCCCTGGAACGCTCATAATTATTTTTTGTAGAGGCATTGTGAAAGTATAGTATAATTCTTGCAGAAGTGGAAAGTTCCATGTTCCTTGGATGATGCGGAGATTATTCTGAGGCAGAATAAGGATGTGAACCAATACCGATGTGACATCTTGCACGAGGTTGTTAGCTCATTCCTTTCTCTGTTGACTTGTATTGTTTTTCACATAGTGCTGCATATTCAACTATTTAAATATGGACAGAAGCTATACAATCTATACATATATATGTGTGTGTGTGTATATGTATATATGCATATTTTAAAGTAGCTGAAAATTTCATTTAAGCAGTTTTCAGGCATTTAAATTTTTAATATTTTGCATTTGAGTAGGGTAGAAGTGGGTGAAATTTGGCAGGTCATCTCGAAGTGCAGGGAGAACATGTTTTACTTTATTCTCTGCCTGAATGTGAATGCTTGCATCTTTGCAGTTGAATTAGTTTTTTGTTTTTTATCTGGGGACAATCTTGGCTGAGTTATCCCTCCAGGGATATGAGGAACCTTTTCCCTGAATGAGGCTCCAATTTTTCATCCTAAATATAAAGGTTGAGAAACTAATGTTTTTGGTGCTTCTAGATTCAAATATTTTTTACATTCACCTATGTTGTTCGATGATAATAGGTTTGTACAAAATCTCTATGGAGTAGAACTTATTAGTAAGCATTCAGTACTTCTTTTTACATTTTTCATGCTTTGAAATAAATTATTGTTGGAGTGATTCAGAAAATCTTGTAACTGTTTATGATATATTCAACATGTCCACATGTATATATAAAAGAGAATGAGAGAGAGAGAGAGAGAGAGAGAGTCTAACTTGAAAATGTATTTATATTGGTAAGAGGAGAAATGGAATAAGATATGATCTTGCAAAAACTGAGAGCATGTGTGGAGATAAAATATTGTCATTGTTTCAATGAGAAAATAATTTCACTGTACAGTTAAATTGAGAAAGAGAAGTAAAAGAAAAAAGATATGGTGTCAAGTTCCATTAATCTGTATATGTCACCCCTGCTCAATGTGAGTGCTCTCCCTGATTTCTGCTAGTAGTGATGTGCTTTTAGGTGCATAATCTCTTTCCTTATAAGCATGGAATTATTTATTCTAGACAGGCAATCAATGGCATTCATACACATCTTGTCCTTTTTTCTAGTACTGAAAAACTTGCCATTCTGTTAAGCAGATTCTAGAACAAAGGTTTCCAAATAGTAACTAGTGTAAGGGTGAAATCTTGAATAGGGCTGTCAATTTGCTACCCAGCCCGTTCAGCCCAATAAATGCCTGGTGAGCCTTATTCTTAACAGGGCTGGGCACAGCTTGGGCCTAAATAATAGGCCCAAATTAAATGTGAGCTGAGCTTGAGCTTTACTAGACTCAAGCCTGATTAAGGCCCAGCCCATGAACATGTATAATTATGTGTGTATGTATGTATGTATGTATATATATATATATGTATGTATGTATGCATGTATGTATGTATAATTGTATATTAAATGATATATATAATTGTGTAAACATGTATAATTATGTATGTGTGTGTGTATGTATGTATAAGTGAATATTAAATGATATATATAATTGTGTACTTAATTATGAGCTTAGGCTTGATATGAGCCCGGAGCTCATATTAAAGTATAAGCTGAGTTTGAGCCTTCTAACTTAGGCCCAAGCCTGAAAGTCCAATTTATTTTCCGAGCCGAGCCTGGGCTTGCCAAAGCCTGGCTTCTGGAGCCCGATTGACACCCTTGAAAATTTACAATAGTGTAATTACATAGCTACAGGTTTGCTAATCATACCTCTTATCTTTGGGTGCTAGTTATCCATTAGATAGAGAACATGAGAGGTAATTAGTTGCTGAGAATGGTTTATTGAAGAGTTTACCAGGATTCCCTGCTCTCAATTTTAACACAATTAATATCTGGTTAACTGCTTCACATGAAGGTGGTGCACCCTTGATGATTTGTTGCTTACATAATGCCAAAAGTTGAACAAAGTATTACATGTTACTGCATGTAAAACAGTAGTAAAATAACTTTTTCAAATGACGTCCAGTATCTAGAAAAGAGAACTTTGAAATCAACTTTAGGTGTTGAGTGGCCAATGTTACAGCTCCAAAATTTGTTACCATGATGTATAAATAATTAGAAAAGAGATAATGAAGGTAGAAGCCTTTATCTAACAGTCAACTTAACATCCAAATAAATTAGATTCAGATGCAAAAAAAAAAAAAAACTATAAATGTACTTGAAAATGTATCAAACATTATTTTCCCCTGAAAAGGAAAAGTCATTTATAAATGAGGCATGAAGGGGGTGCGCCATAAGCACAAGTTTTGAGTATATAGTCAATCAGTGAAATGAATTTTCGAGAAAATCATCAAATGAGAATCAGTTGCCTGGCTTACAGTAATTTACACAGGAAAACAAGGTGTGCTAAAAGCAACCTTTAACTGCTTGAAGTTTTGATGAACTCCTTCAAAAGCAACAGAGCCATGTGGCAATATTTGTGTCTTCTAGTTTCTGCTTTACTATAGAAAAATAAATGATGATCTGTTTTTAGTAGAAAAGAGAGTGCGATGCGTATGATTCTCCTGTGGTGAGGGGGTTTTCTAGGTGAGAGTGGTGATTTGAGGGTAGCCTCCTGCTTGATTGATTTCTGAGAGTCGGAGGAAGATCTCTCATCTGATGACCCTGAACAAGAAGGAAATTAGGTATAGACTTGTTTGGATGGACAGAATATTTTTTTTTAATTTCAGTATTTGTGACATAATTTAGTAATTTATTTTAAACCAGGTTTAAGGAAATTACACCATATTCTTGATTTGCACAAAGCTAAACCTTAATCAGGATACATGATTGATTTATGTATGGATAAATTTCCAAAACTGGATTTGCATCAAATAACTGTTGGAATAAGCAGTAACAATGAGCAACTTTAACATCTTGATTGATGGCCATATTAATTGTAGTTGATACTTGTCCCTGAAAGTGATTTTACTGCAGTCTCCTCTGCAAATTAGATGCCTCTTGAGTCCATCCCACCCTGGATGTTTTGGTGCATTGCTATGCAGTCAACCATGTTGATGTGCATTTTGGATACAGGAAGTGAAGAACTTCTAAGCATCCACAATGATGATGTTACCGGGACATATGTTTGAATGCCATTTGAAGGCTCTTTAGTGTACTAGTTCTTAACCTTTGGAAGATGTAATTTCCTCTAGGGAAAAGCTGGCCTGATTTTGCTACCTTGGTGCATTCCCTGCTGAATTTTTGTTTGCTCTGTTAATTTTCTTGTCTTGTCTTTTTAGAATGTGATGAGCATTTTGAGCTTCTTTCAGTGTTAAGTTGCTTACTCAACAGTTAAGGTGTTAAGTAGTACTCAGATTTTTATTTTGAGTGTGCTCATTTGCTTTTCCAGTGCGCTTGTTCAGTTAAGTAGGCTTGTAAAATTTTGGGAATCTCGGTGTAGGCTTAGAGGTTTTAATTGTCCATTTGGAATATCAATTCTAGATGTCCCAATATTTTAACTGAGTTTTCATGTCCTAAATTTACTGGAAACCGAAATGCTGCACACGCTCTGTACTGTCTGATAATAAAATGAAATGTGCTCAAGTTCAAATAGAGGAAGTAGAAAATTGAATTGATCACCACCTTTGTTCCATTTTGTTAATGCTTAAATCTGTGAACGAGTGGTCTGGAGATTCAGACTTTGATGATGTTCCCGCTAGTTTAATAAGAAAACAATCATCTTGCCCAGCAGCCCTCCAAAAAAGAAAAAGCAAAATAAAAATGGAAAAAAATGATCTCAGAAGCCTAAAAATAAAAGTATAAGATCGCTCGAAAACAGGGAGGAATTCTGGTGTATAGGGAGCTTTTATGGTGATTCTTAGGTTTGAAGACGGTTTATATGTTTTACATTTCCATTTACAGATATTAGGACTTGTATATTTTGATATTAGTCTCAATGGTATTTTGGCTATTCTCTTTTGCTGTAAAACATTAGCAATTATGTTCTCTGCGTCTTAAGAGTTACTTGACTATTTTTGGATGCTAAGTGGAGTGGTAGTTGATTTAGAAGGCTCTAAGGTAATGATCGTGTATAACATAGGAAATAGAAATCCTGCTCTTAAAGATCAAGTTTAGCTAAGTCTATGGCTTATAAATATCCCTTGTAGCTAGGTATTGAAATACATAGAGTTGACTAATAATGATTCAGTTTGTTTGATCATTGGCTTGCTCTATTCTTCTCCCAAGTTACCCTAAATTCTCCTGTCTTTGCAACTGTTCACGATTGCTGTTTACAGCCCCAAAGCATTGTCTTGCTCTATTCTTCACCCAAGTTCCCCTAAGTTCTCCTGTCTTTGCAACGATTGCTGTTTACAGCCCCAAAGCAGCCCTAAGATCATTCATTCTTCTGCTAGTCTTTGCAGGCAAGATCACCTCTATCCTGTCCTGTATCTAAGTTCATAAAATAACAAGGTAATTTGAGAATCTTCATGTGGTATAACTTTTAAATGGACAAGACAAAGCTATCGGTTGCACAATTAGAATTCAGGATGTGCACATAAAATATACAGAAGAAGCCTGATTTGAAAATTGATCTGGCCAAAATGTTAATCTACCTTCCTTTGACAGCCTTGAACTAATAGAAAATTGATATGTCACAGTTTAAAAGTTTAGGTGGAAGCTTTGGGTAGGAATAGGTTTTGAGAACCCATTTGGTTGGAGGGTTTTTACCTCTTCGATTGGAATCAAAGGGTAATGAAACCCATAATATTGTTCAGTTCACCTGTGTGGGATCGCTCATTACCCACTTTTAGGTCTTCCAGTCCCATAGATGCAGTATGCAGTTAAATTGGCACTTTCATCCTCAATCATGATCTGATTCACCTTAAAGTCAAAATTTAAATCAAACTAAACCCAATACCGCAATTAAAACTCAGAATAATAGAAAGTAAAGAAGCGTCATTCTTTTCCTCTTCTTCAATATATCCATCTTCTCAATCACCACTTCTTAATCAAACTTCTGTAGATTCTTGCAATGGAGGTTGAGAGAATATCTCTCAAGGGAGATATAGAGACGAGAGAGCTGGAAAGGGGGAGAGGTTTGTTTGCCGGGGAGACATTTTTTTTTTGCTGGTCTGAGTTGGAAGGATCAAATCATGACAAATTTGAGAAAAATAACCATGGACAAAGGAAGATGGTGGAGAGAAAGAAGGGGGAGAAGTTTGTTTTCTGGGGAGACATTTCTTTTTTTTTTGCTGGTCTGAGTTGGATTTGATAAGTTTGATTTTTTGTAATTTTGATAATTAAGATCTAGTTTTGACATATTTTTTTTTTTTTTGCAAATCTCTGGTCTGATTTAGTTTAATAAATTTTTGGTTAATTGTTGTGGTTTTTGATGATTAAACGACACGGGAGGCTGTCAATTAGGTTTTAGTAATCTGCTATGGATTGCTGCTACAATAGGTGATGCCAAAGCTTCAGACTTTTCAGGGATTTCTCTGAGAATTGGGGACAACAAGGAAGGCGATGGACAGAAAAAAGGTAGAAGGAATAAAATAAGTGATAGTGATTCCCATTGCACTATAGATACCAAACATCAGTTTTAGAATAAATGAATCTTGCTAATCCCATTATCATTTAGGGCGTATTGGATAGTGATTGCCATTGCCATTCATTAGTAGTAACCAAATGGGTGTTAAAGTTTAGACAAGCTAAATGTACTATCTGAGTTGCATATCAAATATATGTTAATTTGGTAGAAATTCAGTTGAAAACCGAAAGATCTATGCTCCTTTTTTACGAATAGATCCAATCTTCTTGTAAGCTACGTGATAAGAAGGCAAAGTGATATTTGTTGCACATAGTGGGCACATGGAATCTTGATCTTGAACGGACCAAGGACCGAGCAATAGGATTCGAACTTTAATTTCTGGAGCACTTAAAATGTGTTGAGATCAGCTGATGAATTAATAACAATGTCTTATTCTTTGCCCCCTTTTTTTACTTGACCTTTTCCTAATACTTTTTGTTGCTAACTATTCTGAATTTGTTTCTACAGCTAGCAGGTACCAGTATGGTTTCATCCTAAAAGTCCTTTCTTTTATTGTACTTAGTTTTTGGTACCAACAGCATTGGATTTGTTATTCCCATTGTGCTCGTGTTTCTTCAACTTATGGGGATTGGGTAATTTAAGAATAAAATTAAAGACTTCGCTTTTTGCATAGGGTACAATGCACTTGACTGAGGATGGAAAGATAGAATTAAGTTTTAGCTTTATGTGTATATAATCTGTACATTTTCTGGAATCATAGCCGCATCACTTCATTAGGTTTGCTCCTTGAAGTGTAGAATGTTCAAGGAATTATGCAACTTTGCTAGCCTGTTAGTGATATTTCATTATAGCACATTTGTGTTGCCTTTCTCATTCTATGATTCATCCTGACTTGGGAAATCAATTTAATAATTGACTTTGGTGGTGTTCCTTTTTGTTCAGATACATTTAGATCACATAAGAATGTTAAGGTTGCTTTTCCCTTCCATCATATGGTATGTAGTGGGTTCACAATAGTTGACTGCATAAATTTTAAGAAAGATCGCCTCCTTTATTCTGAATTCCTGTTTGAAAACAATATTTCCTAGTTTGTAGTATGTGAAAATGTCATGACTCGAGGGCCCCTATAACACTGTTGGAGCTATTGGGTTTTCTGACTGCTTTTGCTGATGGTGTAATTCAATTCTATGATTTTTAAGGTGCCTGTGACAATGATGTATGCAGGCTTTACGGGCAATTCTGGATAGTCCACTGAATAGATATGGATTGGTTGGGGCTATATATGTTAAAATTGAGAATGGAGTGTTGTTCGAAGTTAAACCGCAGGTTCGGATACCCAGAACGTTGCAGCGTTTTTGTGGTCTAATGAGTAAGCATTTATTTTTTCCATACTATTCTCTCTTTTTCTTAGTGCTCTGATTTCGATTTGTCTCTTCCACAATTTGTTCTTTCTTTCCTAATTCAATGACATTTTGTAGTGGGACCTTATTTTTAGTTGAGCTGCATGTTCTTTCTTGGTTTTTGGAAACACTACAGTGAATTTGTTGGAGAAATCTTGCATACGGACTGAAGGAACCAAGGAAGTCCTTTTACGTGTGATTCAGGAACCTGTAACCAGATATTTACCTACCAATTCTCATATTATAGGTGAGTATTGCTATATCTAGAACCTTGTAATTCATTTTGCATTGTTGACTGTTTTTTGAGCTTTTTTGGAGAAAGAAAGAGCTAATTATAGGTTGTTGTGCTTGTCATTTAGGCCTTTCCCATACTTCTCCAAAGGTGGTTAATATTGAAGACTATCTGTCTGCTGTAGACGATGATATCAACCTTACTTTTGTGGTACTCTCTCTCTCTAGCCCTTTTTTTTTGGTGTCTTTGGGGCTATGTTATTATTTATTGCAGCCTCCACCTATGCTCAACAGCTGCAAGCCTACATAAGGCCATCTGTTTTATTTTTAGGTTGGAACATCAGTCCTAGGGGAAATAAATCAGCAGTATGTAGATGATTGTTTAACAGGTAAAACATGAGTTGCTTTATAAGTTTGCTGCCATTATATTTGTTTTTATAAGATAGTATGTGAGAATGAGGCATATTCCCCACTGATGTTGATTGCAGTGATGTTGGTGGATTAGAGGTGATTGACATGGATTTGTCAATTTTTTTTTGCAGAAAAGTGGTGTATTTAAACATTAAAAGTAGTATTACATGAAAATTTAGCTGTTTCCCCTGTGTGTTGTGTTGACCATGATGCAATTTTCTTTAGAATGATAGTGCCTTGGTTAGCACTGACCTGATGCAAGACCTGGTGCTGCATAAATTTTTGCAGTGACTTTGTTTTGATTTACATATGAGTTACTCAAGGTTGCTTGCTTTGTTTCTTTGGGACCAACTCCTATGCCAAAATTTTGGGCCAAAAGGAAATGCATGTGTAAAGTGTTGATCTTTGTGTCGTTTTTAAGCTTTCTAGATTTGAATCCAGAAGTATTCCTCACAGGAATGGCCCTGGTTCATTATTGATTTGTCTACTTCATCTCAATTCACATTCCTGAATTGTTGCATTTACTTTGTAGATGGGATCATGGGAAGGCAACGAGCTAAGCTTTTCTAGAAAATATAGAAGAATCTGTTTTGTCCTCTCAAATGGTTTCGTCTAATAAGTTTCTAGATGAATACTTTTTGGACAACATTCTGGAAAAAAAAAATATTTTTTCATGTTAATGGCATAGTCATTTCAACTGCTTTTTGACACTACATGTACCCAGCTTCTCTCTTTTCGGATTTTCTGCATCAATAGTCCTCATTGATGTGGGTGTCTTAGTGTGTGGAACATTAAGTTGAAATTATGCCTGTTGAAATTTTTTGGAGGGCCAAGATGTGGCCATATACGTGACATGTCAAAAAGGTTGAATTTCTTCAATTTAGTAACTACAAGCTTTACAGCGTGTACATTTCTGATCCATCGTCTGTCATGCATGATGTGGTTCTGTTAGACAAATCCTTATGGAGCTCCTTTGCTTGAGTATATATATTAAGCATCTAAATCCAACTGCCTGCTAGATATTTGCTATTAGCATTATCATCAAGTTGCTGCCATCTACAATATTTAGTATGGTTTCATTGATCTATTAGCCGTTACCTAAAGTTCAAACATTTGTTGGGAAATGAATTGGGGGTGAAAGTTGAAAGATGAATACTTCGACTTTTTTCCTAAATTGGTAAGATAAATAGAATATGTACTGGCGATGACTTGTATTTTTGTAGTTTTCGGACAACTAACACAATAGAGCATTTTAATCTCAAAATAAGGTAGCAGACATGGGCCTGCTTGACATTCCATGCATGGTAAGGTGATCTCTTAATTTATAGGCTGTTGCTGAGGTAAAAGTAGCTCCAGCAGCAGGGGTCACCGAGTCAGTTCAAGATTTGGTTGATCTTTACCTTGGACTACTACTCTTTTGCTCATGGGCTGGCAGTTTTGTTTGTGGCATGCTTGTTATTACTCATTAACTGGTATAATTGTGAGGTGCTTGTCCATTTGTCCTTGCTTTCTGTGACTGTAGTGTTAAAATATTTAATTTGAATTTGTCATTAAGTTTGTTGCTTAGTATCGTTGCTACGTCCCACACTGGATGTGTTTCTGGTATATTTGGGAGTACTGAGAGTTTTCTTTGCTTACTGCAGTTACCAACTATCCATTGTCTGCAAAAGGGAGCATTGGGATGATTTGCCATGTCCTTGAACATAAGTGGAATATCTTCTAATTTACTGCTTTTCTTTTTGGGGGAGGAAAGATCTCATATGGGGAGTATCTCTAAATTTTACTATTTGCAAATCCAGTTTTGAGTTTTGACAGTGCATAATAGCTTCTTTTTTTAATTTTTTAAAATTATTAACATCAGATTTTGTCCTTTAGCGGCTGGCGTTTATATCTCTTGTAGCTATCATTTCTCAAAAAACATAATAATTTTTTGTATCGCCTTGTTTGTGGAGAATCGGTCAATATAGATGTTCCGCTGTCTGTGCATGTAGCAACGTTTGTGGATTTGACTTCATGCTTTCTCTTCATCAAATGGTTGTTTTTCGAGGGGTTCTAAAAATTGTAGTGCATCCACTTTATTGGAATTTTTTTAAATTGAAAAGAATTTATGTGAGTTTAAAATATAGTTGGAGAACGAGTTGAATTTTTTTTTAATTCTTTTTTTGTCATTTCCATTGTATCAATTTCATAAAATACTAATACGGAGTTCACTCCGGCAAATTTGTACTTGGTTTGAGAATCTAGATTGATATTGTAAAAAATACACAGAAAATTTCACTTTTATTTCAAAATTAAGTTTATGTGAGGTTAAAAAAGAGCTAAGAACGAGTCAATTTTTTTTTTCTTTTTTTGTCATTTCCATTGTATCAATTTCGTAAAATACTAATACGGAGTTTATTCTCATAAATTTATACTTGGTTTGAGACCTTTAATTGAGATCATAAATAATGCAAAGAACGACAAAAATCACTCATTTTCATTTTGAGAGATTAAATTTTGTCGTACACGATATGTGAGGGATACTCTGTACAATTTTTTATCATTCTTGATATGTGAGGGGCAATCTGTACAATTTTTCCGTTGTTTGGAAATGTCTTGAAATTTGTGTTATCTTAAGAGTTATCTTATTATTATTTCCTGATCCATTGCATCATAGTTGTCGGAACTGTCTCATTAGTCAAAATTTCTTCATCTCAAATCTATCCTTTCGAATTTTAGTATCAAAGTTAATAAGTCAATTTGAAATACTAATTGTGATTTACAAAAGTATGCAATTTGAAATACTAATAGTGCCTGCTCTAAATTTATAGATCTAGAATCTTTTTTTTTTTTTTTTTTTGTAAATCTATAATCTAGTTTTTTCATTATTGTCAAATCTAAATTTCTATTAGAACTTAAATCAGTTTTAACCAGATCTGACTATCAGTTACATACAAAGATACATTGGGTTACAATGATTCATTCGGATAGAAAATATATAGAACATCAATGTTATTTTTATTTGTATTAATTTCTTAGATGTGTTGTATCCATTGATTTCATATGTATATGTATCCGTGTCATGTTTCTTTGATGTATTTTTTGCCATTAGTGGATTTTTTTTTTTGAATGAAATGGTCTTTTCTATTAAAAAAAAAGAAATTTAAGTTTTCGCCATTAATGACAAAAGAATACTTAATCATTAAAAAGTTTAATGATCAAAGTAGAAGAATCAAAATAATTTAATGACTATTTTTGTCATTTACTCTTTGATTTCTGGATCCCGTCAAAAAGAAGAGTTTCCTATCACAGTTCGAGAAATAATGCCAAATAATAGATGGATTAAAATGAAAATTGATGAAACCCTAGACATATCCTATGTCCTAAAAGTTGGAATTATTTGCCTAAACAACCCAAAGATGAACTTGCAAACATAATTAACCGGATCCTGAGCCTCGTATTGGATCTAAGTCTTTAAATAGACAACTGTGATTTTTCCAACCGACTTTCAGATAATAAATAAACAGGAAAATAATAGTCTACACCCCAAAGCGAAAATGGGAATGAGTACTTTATTATCCAGTTTTTCCCTAGAAAAGGTGCACAATAAGTATACGACGGAAGACACTAGCCTTTTGCTTTGTAGTACATGTTTGGGTTAATTCCACTTTGTGTTTTTTAATTATACTTTGAATTCTTATTTTAGTCTTTAAAATTTAAAATGCAACAATACTTTAGTCCCTAAAACAGAAAATTTATCCATATTAGTCCCTAAAGTATAAAATTTGGCCCAATTTAATCCCTAAGTATACCTACTTGGACATAAAATCTATTTGACTTCCTTAATGATGTTATTTAAGTGAGACAAATTTTATAATTTAAGAACTACAGTGTCCCGTTTTAAAGTTTAAAAATCAAAACAAAAATTTGGTTAAAGTTGAAGGGTGCAAAATGGAATTAACCACTATATGTTTACCAAGTAGGCATTGATTGACAGATTTACCAAAAGACTCCTTTTTCTTGCATTACTCGTCTTTAGGAGCAAGGAACACCATTTCTTTTCAGATTTAGCAGTTTGCTTTCATCGTTGAAACTCTGGTTAGCAATTCTATTTTTATCACCAGTTTTATCCATTTATGAAGAGAGGGGAAAAGAGGAGGGGGGGGGGGGAAGAAAGCAAGAAAAAACCAAACAGTAACACCATAACAGAGTTAAGCATGTCACTGCTTAAAGCATCAGATTAAATAGCTCCATTAATTTTTTTTTTTACCACTATTTTATTTGTGACAAGGCAATTATTCCGATCAAGCCACTTGATAATGCAAGGCCTACAATTATCAAACCTTTTAAAAAATTAATACCCCAGAAAAAGTATTGGTAAACTTTTTGGTTGTATAACATTTGATATAGTCTTTAATAATTACAGTGAAAAAGTTTTGTCTTAAAAGTAGATATGTTTTTTGGGGAATCGATTGGAACTCTCATTCTAATCACAATGTTTAATTGATCACTATATTGGCATCAGCCAATCTCTACTGGTAGAAAAGTACACAGTTGCCCAAGCTAACTGGGAAGTTTTTGCACAAAAAATCATACTATGTTGCATTGTTGTTGTGGTTATTCCAATATAAATTTTGTTTTTTAGGACTATAGAAGTTTCCATTTGGCAAGATAACATTTGTTTTTTACAGACCAGTGGAATTATAAGCATGTTACAGGATCGACGGTGAAGCTCAAGTTCTTTCTTGTTTGCTTTTTTGTTTTTTTTTAAATTAAACAAAACATACCAACAAGCCAACAATACCACAAAAAATACAAAAATTTTAGTGCACACATATTGTATGGTTAAACAAGGTAAAAAAAAAAAGACAAAAATCTTAGCCAAAAATTGGATTAAGTCCGGAATAACACCATTAGACACCAATCTCTAGATTTATCTCACTTATACGATGAATAATACCATTGGGTTTGTTTGGATTGTAAGTTATTTGGGATTATTTGGGATATTTTTATTGTAGCAAATAAAACCCAATGTTAAGCAAATAAAACTGGGTAAATAATGTTCAATCCAAACAAACCCAATGTTAAGATTGCTTAGACCATATCTAGAATAGGAGCGCAAAATACTACGTTAAATTGTACGTGCATGAGTTATAACAATTGTTATGCGCTTGCAGGTTACTAATTGTACCAACAGCTTCATTTCCTCCACCTTTTAGTGGCATAAAAGTCTAGTTTGCATTCACAAAAATTGATTGATTTCTTGCTCCAATTTATTTTCCTAAATTTTATAATGGTGCCTATACAAAATCCAAGAAGATTAACATTGTTTAAATAGCCCTAAACAACTTTGATATGTCATAATGGTGCCCTTTCCATCACTCAGCAATCTACAGGATTTTGATATGTCATAAATAGCCCTAAAAGCAAGCTTACAAAATCTTTTAAACTATTAAAAGGCTTTTTTATTTGGTCAATTATCAACTCGTGCTCTTACTTGTGTTCTAACTTGTACTGTAGGAGGAAGAGCCCAACTATGCCAAGAGCGGTTAGAGAGAGAGAGGATCCCACTTGTAAATTAAAGCGGTGTTAGAACACAATCTTTAGATTTTAGGGTTAATTACCTTTACCTCCTCTCGAGTTTAACCAAACCACAAAATTTACCCTGAGATTTTGCCAAATAACAAAGACCCCTTGTAACAAACTTCCGTTAAAACATACAAATTAACAAAGCCGGAAATAGGCCAAGGCAAAAACTTGGGTGAATCCAGTCCATGACCCCACCTATGGACCGTGTGATTCATCTGTTCCCATCCTCATTGGAGGAGGCTCGGTGCATGGATCATCTTCATCTCTCATGTCTGCCCAACTTCAGCAGGTGAATTTGTCTCACCATCTCGTTCATTGCTTTCTTTTTCATCCGAAATTATCGATATTTGGCCCAAAGCAAAAAATTTGAGGCATTAATACCTGTCAAATGTTGCATCACTGTACATCTTTCAACCTCTATACGATCTTGTAATGTTAGATCCAGTCCGTCAAGCTATATATGTGAGCAAGATTGTACATTACAATCTTTCAGGGGATTTAGAACTTCAATTAATCAAAAACATATCTAGGGCAGCTTAAATCTTGGAAATAGGTGCATCATTTTTCAACGTTATCCTATCAAACAGGGAAGGAGAATGAGACAGGCAGAAGGAGGTGAAGATAGCTGCAAAGATTTTGTGGATTTTTTGGGTTGTTTGCTTAGTTCTAGCTGGGGTGGATTTTATGTATTTGTGAAAATGCCTGTGAGAGATTTTGTTAACATTTTGATCCAAGCATGAAGATCATTCTCCTGGCCCCCCTCCGAAGGACATCTTCATCTTTCTTTCTTCAAATTCTACTTTAGATTGCTTGTTTTTCTATTCCAAGAGAAAAGAGAGAGACGGTCGAAAAGAAAGTTTCAAGGATGAATGGTGGCGCCTGTCCAAACTTCAAAGTTCCAAAGCTTGTTTCTTGTCCTTCTTTTTTAATATTTTTTTTTTTGTTTTGAAAAATACGTAACAAAGAGTGTTGGTTAACCTAGTTAAGTGGGTGATGTGGCTTACTTGAGAACCACAAGGTCCAAGGGTAGGGTCATGAACCGGATTCACCCAAGTATTTTCTAAAATCGAAAAGCCACCGTGTTTCCTCTGTCCTTCGTCATTCATTTTTTGAAAACGTTTCAGCCACAGCGGGAAGCCAACAAAACTTAGCAGCATCCTATGCGCCTGCTGTTGTGCTCTTCCTTGGCTGGTCATCACAGCTAAGTGGTGGACCTTCGTCAAGTTTTCTCTTATTTTTTTAGGGATAATTTCAGAAACCTCCCCCAAAATTTCTTATAATATCACTCAGTTTTTCTGAGATTTTTAAAATCTCACTTACATCCCTTGGATTGATATTTCTTGTAACATTTTAATTCCTTTGGAAGAAATACAAGAAAGATTAAACTTTTGTTCGAATACTACTCTTATGTTATCCTACTTA